CATTTTGAATTTATGTTTGTGTGTGGTGTAAGAAAGTGGTCCAAGTTCATTTTTCTGCATGTTGCTGTCCAGTTTTCCCAACACCATTTGTTGAAGAGACAGTCTTTTTCCCATTGAATATTCTTTCTTGCTTTGTCAAAGATTAGTTGACCATATAGTTGTGGGTTCTTTTCTGGGCTTTCTATTCTGTTCTATTGATCTACGTGTCTGTTTTTGTGCCAGTACCATACTGTCTTGATCACTACAACTTTGTAATGCAACTTGAACTCTGGAATTGTGATGCCTCCAGCTTTGCTTTTCTATTTTTAAGATTGCTTTGGCTATTTGAGGTCTTAGGTGGATCCAGACAAATTTTAGGATTGTTTGTTCTAGTTCTGTGAAAACTGCTGTTGGTATTTGAGAGCTGTACAATTTATGGAGTCATAGTTGGGTTTCCTTTCTTGAATCCTGGAACAATTGCAAAACAAATCAACAACCAATGACAGCATTAAAACATGTATGATCTTGGCCAAAGTGTTGATTCTAAGAGTTTATTTCTTGTCCAGAAGGCTCTTTATTTAAAATACCATTTGCTTAGGTCGGTAATCCAATTACATTCAATCTTGCCTGTTAAGCACTGTAACAATCAAAAGAATTATCATGTTCACCCATCAAAATATACATTTTAGTGGCAGTTTGAAAGTCAACTTCGGTTTACGAAAAATTTGACAAAGACCTAAACTAAATGTTTTCCCCCCTCACTCTTTCATTTTGTGTGTAAATTTCTGCAGGTGGACTGTGCATGATTTTTATCCAGATGCTGGGAATCTGAGGTAGAGAAAAGATTTATAAGAGAGAAAAGGGGTGGCACTTGAAAATGTAGTGGTAGCCACTGATTATTGCACACACTGTTTAAAAAAAAAAGATTGAAGATTTTGTTTTAAACACCTGCAGGGCTAGCATACTTTTGAAACATACACAAACAGATGCACTGCCATCACCACCACCAGCACCACATATCCACACTCATGTATTTGGGTTTAGAGAAACTATTTTTTTTCAAATGCTAACGCTGTGAGAAGTATATTTTTCTTAATTATTTTGGATACTGCATCGATCATTAAATAAACCATTTGAAAAAGTAAAAAGAAATGTCAAGAAGCTATTTTTTTCCTAGTCTCTCCCAAAACAACTAGTGTTATGAGTGAAATGACAAGAATAATTAGGAAAAATGGCCATGTGCCATATCTCTAAAAGCAAAAATCCAGCTGTTTGCACACTATTTTTTTCTGTACAGCTAAGGCTCCAAGAAAAGATAATGAAGATAAAAAATTCAATCTTTGAACCAAGCAACAAATCCTCATTGCATAGTAGCTTTGTGAGAATCAAATAGGCAATAGGAAACAAATTTCGACCACTTTATTTGCAGGCATGAAAGCACAGTGTATATTAAAAATGGTGACCTTCATATGTTTTTTTACATCCTTATCACCAAAAATCCATAGACATATTATTTAAATAAAGTCATCTGCACTGCAGTAGCAAATAGCTTTGTAGTCCATATTAAGATATTACAACCTATCTGAGTCCCATTCCATTCTTGTCATTCTACTTACTACAAAATGATGAAATTTTCCTTTAAGTGGCAACTGCATTTGGACAGCAAAAACCAACTGGTTTGATGCCTATAACCTAACCCAACTTGTACTGTTTTTATGGTAATATTATTTACATTTCGCGTTGTATAGGTGAGTCATGTAGATGTTCTGGGTACCAACAAACCACTTTTTCATGGGCTATGTCTTAAAAACTCTTATTAGCTTCAAAAATATTCCTTTGGGTCAAACCAGACTAAAACACCTTCAAGACTAGAAACTTTTCATTGCTTTAATTTTGCTACTTCGTAAATAGACTTGAGAGTTACAGTCATAGTTGTTTTCAGCTATGTAGACTTAGCCAGATTCAGAAATGAAGGCACAGAATTGATCATTTAAGATTTGGAATCTCTTCATGAAATAGGTCAAGATGTTTTACGAATGCCAAAACACCGGTTAGAACTTTTAGGATGTAGAATACATGGAAAATGTGAAAAGAAACTATTCTTTCCTGTCATGAAAAAAAAGTCAGATGATTTTGATGCAAAACTCCTGTAAAACATAGAACATGTAACTGAGAAAGGCAGTGTGGGTTAACTGAGCAGGGATCAAGGCCTAGGTGCTAAGCCCCAGAATTCTTACTGATTAGCTGAGCAGGCCTTGAGAAAATTACTTAATCTTTCTGAGTCTTAGCCATCCTCTTTTATAAAGTAGATATATATATATATATATATATATATATATATATATATATATATATATATATATATATATACCATGCCTAACTTATGGAGTTCCTGAGTTCATAAAGGAGAAAATGTATTTGAAAATACTTTCAGAAAAAAAGGATGATATAAAGAAAAGTGGTTATTATCACAACCAAACATTTTTAAATGAATGGACTAAGAGAATTGCTGTGCCTCCCTTTTTTCTGCCATTTATTTTCCTTAGATGCAATTCCACTACTGTTTTGTCTCTCTTTCTCTTACTTTTTTCTACTTCCATCTCTGCCCACCCTGCCCAATTCAATCTTTGGGCATTCATTTTAATTTTTAGTGTCAAAATGAGTCAAATCCATTACTACTAAAGGTCCAATTTCTTTTGTAGTATGAAAATTAGAGAGGTACTGCCTGGGGCTCAAAAATCTTTTTTTTATTAAAAAGAGAGCTTTTGGTTGCATGCTATTTGTTGTAATGGGATTTGACCTGTATATCAATTAACTGTGCAATGCATTTATATTATAAAAGCGTTTGGGGAAATGAATTGTTATTGTGGATGATAGTCATGTTATAGAATTGGATGTGAAGGAAAGAAATGATTCAAATCACCAGAGCTTATTTCCATAACCCTGAAAGTTGTAAGTAGTAAGGAAATTGAAACAGTCCCCTAACTCCTCATGGTACAGTTTTAAAAACCATGATAACTTGAACCAGTCTATTTATTGTTACAAAAATATTTTTGCCACAGACATAGAGATAGCCTATGACTTTAATACTTTTTAAATAGGAGATTTAAGGCAGATAAATGTTTTCTTTATGCCTGTTTTATTGGTATGTGCTTGTGGAATTCTTCAAAAATAGTCCATAGAGTTAAATTCCCCTGTGTGTACCTAAAATTTGGAACATTTTCCAGATGCAGTTTGAATATCTGAAACATACACAAGAGGCTTAACTTTACTATAAAATGATTGACTGTAGGAAAGAAATCTGTATAGGGGCAAAGTCTTATCTTGACTAAAGCATTTTATCAGTAAAGGTACTAAAATTATACCATAGCTAAAGTTCATCTGTAACCTAGTTCCTTTATCCACGCTCTGAAGATGTGAAGTGTGGTCTGGAATCTGATGGGATCTGCCATCCACAGTATGGATGGAGCCTTAATAACAACAGATTGTGAGACCATTCCAGAGCCTGAGACTTAGGGTTGCCCATGTGAGAAGCAACTCGCTTAGCAGCTCTTTCTTTATATATAGATTAGGGACTCTTATTGGAAACCACTGTTTATTTTTTAAATCAGTGTGGTCCTCATACATATAGCCCACCTTTCCCAATGGTGGGTGCCATACTCCTCTCCTTTACCCTGAGTGTCTGGCTCCAGAATAGAATTCCTATTTCACTAAAACAGATCATAGGACTTTAGGACTCTCAAAAGGGAATCTTTTGTAATCTGTAAGGCCTAAATTTTAAGATAGACTATTTCAAATAGACCCTCCAAGTTTGACTGTATTTACATAGCAGGGTATAGACAATGGGTTTCTATTTTGTTTTTGCTATTTTTAAAAATATTTCAGAGGATGCTGGATTATTGAGCCCTGCCCATTCTTGGTACAATATAGAAACTCATTAAATCTGTAAAGTTTAAAGCCAAATTTTTACACACAGCCTGCCCCCCATATAGACTCTAGCATATTCGGAGGTCAGGGGATGCTTAGGAACAAGATCTCTAACATAAATTGTTAATTAATTATGTAATTTTAAATCTTAAACAAATGTAACATTTTTATTGGTTTTGACAGATTGTGAATTCACTTTCTTTTGCTAATGGCCTCTTACTTATTCAATTCTTGATAACTCCAATTCCTCTGAGACATGCATTTCTGAAACAAATTGGATTATAGTATGAAAGTAGTTTATTGATGAATTTTCCACTTTCCTACTTTCCAAAAGGCCATACCTGGGTCTCATGGTGCATTTCAAGAAGCCATAATGATGGAACAATGCTAATCAGATATATAAATATGGCTGGTGAAAACCTGTGGAAGAAGAGAAAAAGATAGTTTAGTTTTTGCAAAAAAAAATTTAAAGAAAACAAAACAAATGCACATACCCTGATCACATCCAGTCAATCCTCTTTATCTCAAGTGTTCATTTCAATGGGGAAAAAAGCATTATGTGATTTCTGCCATATGGATTATAGAGAAACAAAGTAACTGCAAAAGGCACTAGCAGCTGTCATTCTCACTGAATTTCTAATCCAATTAATAGAAGTTAATTTTAATATGGTTTAATGGGACACTGCCAACTAGTTGCAGGCACAAAACTGGATATTTTGTGTTTAATATGTTTTACAGATAGCAAATACAGCAACAGTAAATCTTCTTGGATTTCTCAGCATTGCAATTTCAGGAAAATTGGCTGCATTTTTTAATATTAACCTAGAATTCTGAAAGCTCAAATAGTAACATCCTGCTAGAACACAAAAATCAGATGATAATGAATAGGAATGAGCAAAATCTACTGACTGTATCTGCTAAGCCTAGTGAAAATAAAAATGCAAACAAACAACAACACATGAAGTGCTTGGTATTTTTTTAAAGCTATCTACATTCATTATTTCTGGCTCAAAATTCCGAGGGCAGTTCAAATAGTGGGCCTTTATAATCAAAAATAATCAGTTTCAAATATCAGTTTTGCCAGTGACTCTCAGTTTGCTTCCTAATCCACAAAATGGGGACAGTCACTGTATTAGTCATCTTGGACTGCCATACCAACATACCACAGATTGGGTAGTTTAAACAACAGAAACTTATTTTCTCACAGTTCTGGAGGTTGGTAGTCTAAGATTGGGGTTCAAAGATGATTGGGGTTTGGTGATGTCTCTCTTCCTGGTTTTTAGAAGACACCTTCTTGCTGTGTCTTCACATGGCCTTTCCTCGGGGCACATGCACTTCACAAGGAGAGAAAGAGAGATCTCTCTTCTCCTCTTAAAAGTCTATCAATCTTATTGGCTTAAGATCTTACCCTTATGACCTCATTTCCTAAAACCTCTATCTCAAAATAGAGTCACATTGGGGGTTAGGGTTTCAACATATGAATTTATGGGAAACAGAATTCAGTCCATAGTGGTCACATTTATCCCACAGAGGTCTTTATTATACTTTCTGTAAAGAATGCCTAGCAGAGGTAGGCACATCATAACAGGTAATTACTATTAATATTTTTATAAGACATTATACAATGAAAATGTGTCCTTAGAACTTTGAAATAAGAGAAAAATAGCATACTTTCCAAATTTATTTCTTCAAATTGCACTTCATTTTAGATTGGACTATTGCTTTATAGACCATCTCAAAGTCAAAATTGTAAGCTAATATAATTTTATTAAAATACTTATAGTATATGCTTGTGGTGGTTTAAAATAACCTAAAAATTAGAAATGCTAATTCCTCAATAAATACAATTATTCAAGATGAATTAGTATTAAAACCATATTATTATAACCCAGGAGAGAAAAGTGACCAGACCTAAGTGGAAGAAAACATCTAGAATGGACTTTTTAAAGAAAGGCTATTAACCCTTTCACTAATATTGCCTTTTAACTTCTGGGGAGAAGAAAGAAAGGACAAAAGAAAGCGAATTCTTTAAAAATCAGTATTTAATATAGAAATTCCTCCATCTTTGATTTCCTGCAAAGAACCAATTTTGAAACAAAGGTTATAGGTCATGATATTATTGAAATCTTGGCAGATGGCTGGGCGATGGAGAGAGAGCAAAAGCCCCATGGTTGAACATCCGCCTAAAAAAAGGGGGGGGGGAATTAATTCCTTGACCTTACATATCAAGGGAAACATCAGGAGAGAGTATTTCCTTTGTGTGACTAAGAAAGGAAATGATTTCCAGTCGCAAGGACATTTGGAATATGTAAATGTTTGTTCTGCTATGTCAAATGTCCACTGGACTGCAGTTTTCTTGACTCTCTTGGGATTAATTTTGAGATTGACTCCCCTAACAATGCCATTACAATAATATCTAAGGAAACTCTGGACTGAACATATGATAGCTCTTAAACAAGGTTAAACAGATAACAACAACTCTTAACATCTTGTATGCATGAGGCTTATTTCTATAATTGAAAAATAAAATACTATCCCATTTGAAGATACTTCCTCTAATTAGGAATCTGGTTATATCAAAACACCAAAACTAAAAACTTCAAGATCCAAGATTTTCTATGTTGCCTGCCACAGAAAATCTAAATTCTGTAATCTGATATTCAAAGCTTCGATATTCTAGTCTTTCCACTTCCCTTTTCTCTTCCTGTGTCATAGCCCCAAAACAAAATAAAATGTTTTCTCTAAAGTTCCCCTCACTTCAGTTCATCTTCACACTTTTTTGACATAAGTGAAAAGGAGGTAGAAAGAAGCAATCGCACCGAAAGCCCAAGAATTTATCCTATTCAACTCAGTCCATAGCCTTTTCCTCACATGTCCCATCCTCTTAACCCTACACCTGAGAGGATTTGCTGGAATTTCAGGAAGCTTCCAGGTAGAGTTATTGATGAAATGCACAGCACCCCAAGGTAAATAATAGCAAAGCAGCATCAGGAGGTCCCTTCTCTCCTTCCTCTCCTTCTAATTCCCTGTAGCAGGCAGTGGTCACTGTACAGCTGAAATTAAATTAAAACAACAGCAAAACTTATGGAGAAAATAGAAGTCTCAATTATCTAGGGAAGTGTTAAAATGTGTCTAAATATATTGTATTTTGGATATGAGGATTACATTTTAGCCATATATAGAACAAAGTGTTCCATGCTCCGTTAGCTTGATTAATCTGAGAAGAGAGGTTCTGAAATGGTTTTAGAGCAAATGTCCTCCCAAATTATGACTGCCTGCTATGGAATGCTGTCCTCTTACATCTCTACCCATCAACATCCTACCTGTATTTCAGAAGCATAGCAGGAATTAATCTTAGCTTATGTTTCTCCCGTGACCCAACATATTCTCTCCTATTTCATGGTTATGTGTATATAAGCCTTAGCTTTCCTAATAAAGGCTCCTTGAAGGGAGATTTTTGAGTCTTCTATATATTTATGTCCCTTCCCTCTTCTCATTCATCTTTTCCTCTTCTCAGTGGTATCAGGTGTCTTACTAAGTCCTCAATAAATGCTTACTAAGCACATCCTTAAATGTTTAATCTGTGAATTTATGAATAATGGGAGGACTAAGCAAATGGAGGGAATGAAGGGTACTAGCATCTACCTGACTTTTATTCCCATTCCATGAGGTTTAGTATGCTCCCGGAGTGTGTCCCTTGAGGAATTATTACACTGCAGTAGAAATTTCACAAACCTAGGAGACCCAAATTTGAATCTTGTCTCTTCCAGGGTAGTGGAATTCACTACCTTCCCTGTGACTCAGTGTCCTCATCTATAAAATGGAGACCATAACACCCACCTCCTAGGATGGGTGTGAGGATTAAATGAGGCAGTGTGTGCCACGGGCCTGATGGCATACATGCTTAATACATGTGAGCTACTCCCTTGTCTAGGCTCCGTTCTACAAGTAAACTCACAGCTACATAACGGTACCTATCCAGAGGGCACCAGTTCGGAAGACTGTTTCTTCAACCAACTCACAATCAATCCTATTTTCAAACTATAATTCCCCAAACTAAAGCTATTTAAGACATCTTGAATCAAAGGAAATTGTTTGCGCTGCTGAGGACAAACTCCATATTCGATGTTATGGCAATTACTGTTATACAGTTGTGGTTTGCATGGGCCATTTGCCCATGATGACCTACAGAATGTTGCACGGTCAGGGCCCGGGCTAACTCTTGGGCTTTGTTGCTTGCCATTTTTCCTCACTGTGCTCCTATAACATTGCTTTTCATTCATTTCTGGAGAAAACCTATGTGTCTTCCTAACTCAGGCCTTCACACATGCGTTTCTCTCCCTTGAAATATCTCTTTATTCCACCCCCTTTTCACCCGTGTATCTCCTTTTCATAGCTCATGTCAGGTATATGGAACTCTACAGAAAAACTTTTCTTGTCCCTCCAGTCTCAATTAGATTTCCTTGTCATGCTTGTCTATAGCACTCTTCACTTTTACCTTATAGGTCCTCAAAATTTATAACTGTATGTGTGTGCATGTGTATGTGCATGTTTCCCATCAGTTGTCTCCTGGCAACTGTAGGTAGTATAAGCACAAAAAGTGTGAGTGCATCATTATACCCTCAGGTCCTCCCACAGTATCTGGCCCAAGGTGGGTTACCCATGAATATTTATTGATTTGATAAGGCCTTGGTTGATTTTTCTGTTTTCTATTTTCTTGACAATCTGTTGCTGGTTTAGCTAGAAATTTCCTCACAAAATATCATCATAAATGGAATCTTATCAGAAGTTTTACTGAAGAAATTAATTATTCTGTTCGTATATGAATATAATATTGTTTTGCTACTATGAAAGATTTAATATTTCAAGGTGACACTCTAGCCACTACTTATTAGTTAGAAGGTTTGCTATATTCTTGATCATGCATTGTCAGTGTAATTCACCTTTGGAACCAAGGAGACTCTGAACTCTAAAAATTAAAAACTAGACCCGACCCCACCTTTTTCTATGTAATTAATCAAATTGTGTGCCTTTTCTTAGGAGCTACCAAATAATTTTACTCCAGTCTTTATGTCTTAATGGCATCAGAAGTAAGTCAATGCCAAGTATTTTGTACGAAGTCTAATACCATAGAAGGATCTAGCCAACCCAGAAATAACTTAAATCAGGTTTCTGGATACTTGTTTTTAAATATAAGATACACTATTTATTCACAAGCTGACAAAAACTGATAAACTTATGATCAAATTCAGAAGATATGTCCACGTGGGAAATTTTTATAAAATGTATACTACCCCATTACTAATCCACTATCTGCCCTTAGAGACTCAGCTTTACTATAATACCAATTCCTACTACTCTGTCAGAATACAGAATGTGTGCAACATTAATACTTTAGTGACAAATTATTTGAATTAGCT